ACAGCTGGAGGACTTGGATTTTGCAGACGATGTCAGCCTTCTGTGCCACAAGCAACAGCATGCACAGTCAAAGCTCACCCGGCTCGCTGAGGAGGCAGGAAAGACCAGCCTGAAAATCAACACCAGAAAAACGGAGGTGATGCGGCTGAACAACAAACAAGAGTGCCCACTGCAGCTGCAGGGAAAAGATATCAAGGAAACAGACCACTTTGTTTACCTTGGAAGCATAGTAAGCAGAGATGGCGGCGCAGACGAAGACGTTAGGAGCCGGATCAACAAAGCAAGGCTCGCGTTCAACACCCTGCGACCCATCTGGAACTCCAAAGCCTTATCCCTGTGCAGCAAGATCCGCATCTTCAACACAAATGTAAAAGCAGTTCTCCTGTATGGGTCCGAGACATGGCGAGTTACGAACACCATCACCAACAAGATACAGACGTTCATCAACAAGTGCCTGCAACACATCTTAAACATCAGGTGGCCAGAGAAGATCTCAAACACAGAGCTATGGAAAAGGACCAACCAGAACCCAGTCAGCCAAGACATCAGGAAAAGAAAATGGGGCTGGATCGGACACACACTGCGAAATCCAGTTGACAACGTTACAAGGCAGGCCTTGGACTGGAACCCACAAGGGAAACGAAAAGCTGGGAGGCCAAAACAGACATGGAGGAGATCGGTCGGGAGTGAAGCGAAGGCCGCCGGAATGGCGTGGACCCAGCTGAGGAGAGCAGCCCAGAACAGAGTCCGTTGGCGAGGTGTTGTTGCGGCCCTATGCTCCAATGGGAGTCAAGTCACATTCTGTATATAAACGCTGAATATTCTTCCGGTTTCTGTGTTATATAACGTGTATTTTATCACAAAATGCCGTGTAATAACTCACAAGATAGAAGTAAATTTACTATCAGCGTGTCGAATCTGGATATCTCGAATACGTGACTTTTGTTGAAGTTAGAGTTCATTTCCGTCCATTTTATTTAACATTTAATGCATATAATACCCCTACATTTATCACGGATCAAAGCAAAGGCCCAAGGCCTCGATCAGTTGACTGGAATCTCTGTTGTCTCGAAGAAACCACAAAATTCTCTAGCATTTCGACATACCAATGTTCGAATCTATTAGGTCTCCATTCCAGTTTACTTGGGTAACAGACTGTAGAATAGTGACACTTTTTGAAATAAATATGTGGATTTTATATTTTTAATACAAAAAATTTGATTAATCGAATGGCAGTCGAAAAATGAACGAATATTAATTTTTAGTAAGTTTGTCGTTTGTTTGTTTCCTTGTTGTTATTATGCACAAAGCTGTATAATGGGTTATCTGTGCTCTGCTCACCAAGGATAAATTCGATTATAGAGTTATAAACCCGTAGACTTATCGCTGAGCCACTGATGAGTGAGGGGTGGGGGTAGATAAACTATAGAAAATGAACACGTGTGGATAACTATAGATCAATCACGCAATGAACAAACATATATTAACAAAGATTCATAGAACAACTAGAACGACGATTAAAATTAACAGAACGACAGATCACGGGTTAAAAACATTAATATAGATGGAAGCTATAAACGGGGCGAATATAATAACAAGTTATATTAAGTACATACTAAATCGTATTGACGTATGTGCGCCTTTAAATATTGTTACGTCTCCGTTTGTTAATTAACTTTCCGTAACTTCGTTCCGACGAAACTTTAGCGACACAAGTCCTTACTTAATAAAACTGTTTTATTCTTTCCGAATATAACTTTACGATACACTTAATTTCAACAATCGCTCTATAACAAACGCTATATCAAGGAACGTCAACAATATTTCTGACTGCAGTTCAATTACTCACTATGTACACACACATCATTCTGTCACGTTGTCACCCTCTTTTATATACCAGGCTACCCTATATCTAGTAAATGCTAGAGCATTCGCCAAGGTACAGGATAGTTCTAGAAAGTAGAGGGCGTGAGAATAGTCACGTGATCTCGCTGACGCAACAATATTATACGGTAACAAATTTAACATTTCCGATTATTATTGGCCAGTGCAATCTATAGGGGTAAAACTAAAACTATTGATACTTTAATATATTGAGTAAGTTTCGTTATAACAATATGCACCATATTACTGAAGAAACTAAATTTTCCCTTCCTCTAGCATTTCAACTGCTTACATTATATTGCTTTGCTCGAAATGTGTTAAATACTCATCTCTGATGTATTTTACAGCTATGTTTGCCTTTATATGATGAATATCGTATGTTTGCAGAATGTATTATGTGTTTGATTATATATATGTATTTGTAGCTAAATAATAGAAATTTGCTTCGTGAAGTACGTTATTTCATGTTATTGACTTTTGCCAAGACATGGAGGACGGGTCGCCCTGCTTACTTATCAGTTCAAGCATGCGAATATATGGGACAGCTAACCCAAATCCAATGGTCTTTACCAATAACAGAATACAGTTACAATGGGAAAAAGAAATAGAAAAATAAGAAAGAACAGGAGAAAAACGAGAGAGTGAGGGAGAGAAGAAAGTATCTCAGGAAAATCGAGAGAAAGGGGATTAGATACGACAAATAAAATAGACGAGGACTGGCAGAATGGAGTGTGATGTCCTTTAATGATGGTGTAGGATAAATTTAGTGAAGAAATAGACGTCTGAAAAGTTTCATGTTTTCATGGCGTATTTTAAATTGTAACTATGTGTTTTGTTGTATTTTGAAAGAGTGCAGAAACTAAATGTTCTAAGTATTTGTTCATATTTACGCGGATATATAAGCAGAAAAGAAACAACTGTTGAAGCAACCAGCGAAAACAATTTGTGACAGATTCTAGTGTTTATAGCTTCTTCCAAGGGTACAAAAATACCAATAAAAGAAAAATAACAATGAGAACCGCAGACTGAAAGCTTGGTTGCCATAAACAATGTCACCTGGTGGTAGTGGCCTTTCGTTTTCCTTCTCTACGCCTCCCTTAATGTTGTAAGTCTGCAGTAAATAAACTCTCTAAAAGGTGGAGGAGTTTTGGGTAATATGGAATATGAGGAATAAGTTTATTGCAGTGTGACATAAATAGTGTTCATAAACGAATGATTTAAGTCTCAGTAAAGACAAAGTTGATAACCAATATATTGCTGCCTAAGATATCATTTTCTTAAAAATTTATGTTTATTATTGCCTAAGAAATGCTATTTATACTGGATAAGTATATAATATTAATGTTTATCATTTCATTTTATAACGCAGCATTAAAACAATAGCTGAATGAACGAAAAACTTACAAGTGTTTTTGTTTGTTTATTTGTTATTAAGCATAAATTTACACAATGGGCTATCTATGCTGTGTTCATCACGAATATTACAACCCTATTTTTACAGTTATAAGACTTCCGACTTACCGTTTAGACAATGGGAGGCTTTCAAAATTTAAATATATATTTGATTACTTAGTATTATTAACACAAAACTATTAAAAATTCCTTTTGTTCTTAGAAAGTTTGTTTGTTTTGGAATTTCGCGCAAAGCTACACGAGGGCTATCTGCGCTGGCCTAGAGGGAAGGCAGCTAGTCATCACCACCCACCGCCAACTCTTGGGCTACTCTTTTACCAACGAATAGTGAGATTGACCGTCACATATAACGCCCCCACGGCTGAAAGGGCGAGCATGTTTGGTGTGACAGGGATTCGAACCCGCGACCCTCAGATTGCGAGTCGAGTGCGTTAACCACCTGGCCATGCCGGGCCACTTAGAAAGTAAACAGTTTAATTTTCAAAAGAAATTAGCATTTCTTAAGAAACCCATGATTATTATACATTAAAATATCTGGATAGAACTGGGTAGAAATAAGATAAATAATTTTGGTAAACTTATTTATTGAAGTGAGTGATTTCTGTCGTATATTTTTTATTAAATAACATAGTGTTGATTAATTGTAATTAGATCCGAGTTATATTAAAAAAAAATGCTTTAGCTCCTGAAATTAAAAGGTGTTTATTCCCATTTTAACTAAGAATTAGTTTTAATGTATGGTTTCTAATTATGTTTTACAAAAATCATTACTTTTAAACAAAGAGAAGACATCTTATTAAAAAATATATACTGGTAGTTTTTTTTATTTGTTGTATTTTTTATTGTTTTTCAAAAAATTCGTATAAGAAATTATTATTTGTAAACCGTAATAGCTGTGACATAGTAACATGTTGCTATCATTTTCAACTAACACTAGTTAATTACCAAAGATATATGTAAGCCTAATATTTTTGTTTTCTTTTTCTTAATTTAAGGAAATATCTTCACCAGTAATCCAGGCATTTTAGCGTATCATTCCCTTTATGTTTTAAGTAATAAAAATCTACCTTACCTTTTCAGAGTATCGCTGGTGACTGCTAAGAATACTAGCGGTTTCAGGCATGGCTCGATCGTTTCCAATTCTCCTTCTTGATCTAAAATATCGAAACAATTGTGCACTAAATAAACAACTAGATTCTACCCGTTCAAATATATGCACAAATTGACGTACTATCAAAGTTACATTACAATCAGCATAAAGAACCATACGACAAGACTTAGTTGTAATATTGTTACTCTTCACGCATTGTATATGCATCAATTAACGCTAAACATTATTGATCAATGTGGTATTAATTTCGTAATAGTTTACATGCTTAACTTGTCAGTTTAAAGTTAAGCACAAAGCTACACAATGGGCTAACTGTGCTCTGCCCACCACGAGTATCGAAACCCGGTTTCTAGCATTGTAAGTCAGCAGACATACCGCTGTGCTACTGGAGGGCAACATGCTTAACAGTTAAACAAGTTAATGATTCGAAAAACTGTTGTCCTACTAAAGGCACAACACAGAACGTAAGAAAGAGAAAAACAATACGCTAAAAAAGTAAATACTTTGATATTTGATAAAACAAGTTACACACTAGCTTGTTCATTCATTAATCACGTGCGCGTTAGAGGTACTGGTGAAAGAAAAACAGTTACACTGTCCTAGTAGAAATGTCTAGGAATAGTGTTTACGCAGATGCTTTTGGTTCTCTACGAGAGTAATATACGTGCTTGATTCTCCAGGATTAACTAACGACTTGCATACATGCCTACTCTTTTAACTTCTCTTAAAAAACCTGTTGTCTTACATACATAGGAGTTAACTAAACATATGCTGCACACATCTGCTTCTCCTATAGTTCTACCAGCAAAATTAATATTCGAGCTCTCTAAAATGTATCTGCATTATACATCTACATGGATACATAAACAAAGTAAGAGGAAGAAGTAAATCAAAATTAAAATAGCGCATACTTCACTAAAATAAACTGCATAGTACGTTACTATTTAACGAGTATATGCTCATAGATTGAACTAACCTTATATGACTAATCTTCAACGAAATTAGATAAATGTTTGAAGATCATAACCATTCAAATGATCATAGCAATGCATTCTCATATATATCATTAAACTGAAGTTTTACGAGCTATATTAGTTATTGATAATTCAGTTGCCTAGATAATTATTCTCTTTCTAGTGACTATTGTAATCATGTAAGAGGACTGCATCATTTGCAATAGATTATATAACATGATCGATAAGATTTCTTTAACAAATGGTCCATACACAAGAAAATTATCAAACAAGCTGATACGTAAAAATATTGTTACGTCTCCGTTTGTTAATTGATTTCCCGTAAATTCGTTCCGGCGAAACTTTAGCGACACAAGTCCTTTCTTAATAAAACTGGTTTATTCTTTCCGAATACAACTTTACGATACACTTAATTTCAACAGTCGCGCAAAAACAAACGCTATATCTCACGTGGCCAACAATATTTTCTCTGACTGCAGTTCAATTACTCAATACTACCTACACACTTTTTTCCCGTCACATTGTGACCATCCTATATACACCACACTATCCCCAATCTAGTAAATGCTAGGGCATTCACAAAGGAACAGGATATTTCTAGAAAACGGGTGGCGTGATGCTAGTCACTTGACCTCGCTGACGCAACACTGACGCCTCCTTAGTATTGTTCCTCCCAAACAATAGCCACTTATAATAAACCAATAACAATTAACATTAATCAACTTAATTAAATGTACAGAATTACAAACACAAAATTATAATTCAACAAAGTCTCTTAATTTTACGGGACGTATCTTCTTCCGTACTGGACTCCGTCTCGTTGGCTTCTGCTTCACGTGGGGTACATCTGCATCATCAGGAAATGTCCTATCGTCAGTAACAGTCACATCAGTGGTAGTAACTTCATCAATAGCTTCACCATTTCTCTTCTCAAAACTGAGATTGGCTTTTCAACATTGGCTTTTTCAGGTGACACGTCTTCAGCAGCCACATTTGTTCTGTTGTCCACTTCGTCCCAACTGAAATGTCCTGGACCATGATAACGTCAAAACCTGTTGGCAAGCACCACTTTTGGTTTACCTCGCCGACCACATTTTACCCGGAAAGTCACGTCTGAGAGACGATCCACTATGTCATATGGGCCTTCCCATGGAGAAGACAACTTAGGAGACTTCCCTTTGGTCTTCCTGGGATTATACAACCACGCCTTGTCTCTTGGTACAAAGCTGACTTCAGTAGATCTCTTATCATAAGTTAACTTCATCGAATCAGCAGACGTTTTCAAGTTTGTACGCACTTGATGGTGAATATCATCCATCGTTTCTGATAACACTTTCACAAACTCTGACACATTCTCAGGCAACTCTTTATAAGGTGGGCGTCCCTTACGCTTGGGTCCCCTTTTAGCACTACATGTACTGTATGTCCGGCACCATTCTTCCACATCTCGCCTCATACCTATCCAATAAAATCTTTGTCGTAGGTGACTCAATGTCTTCTTAATTCCGAGATGTCCTCCTGTTAAATTATCATGGGATTGACGCAGCACAACTTCCTGTAACTTCCTCGGTATAACTGTTTGCCAAGTCGTCACTTTCCCATCTGTAGTTTCCCATCTCTGGACAAGAATACCATCTTCAAGCTTCAACTGGCCTCATTGTGCCCAATAGTGCTTTGTCACAGGGCTTAGACTAGGCACCTTCTCCCAAGCAGGGCGCACAACACTCGCTTTCAGAAAATTAATCATTGGCTTCAAATCTTGGTCTTTCTC